GTACAACGAAAGAACCTGTGTCGGCAACGTTGCCACACCCTAAACTTGCGCAATAGAAAAAATGCAGAGGTATGTTAATACAGTGGAATAATAAGCATGCCACGAGACTCTCATACAATACCCTATCTATGCCTGTCGACCAGACAGGATAAGGAAATGGAAAGGAGAAACAGAAGTAAATTAAATTCAAAGTAACAATTACATTGGCCAAGTAGGGAAGTTCTTGAAGCGAGAGTTAGCACCCTTAAACTAAAGGCAATATCAGAGGTATAAATAAAATTAAAGTTCGAGTCAATCAGTTCATTTGGTGAAATCCTGCTGACATATTATGAGACTGAATACATACCTGTTTCTCTTATGAAATCTGTAATGTCGTAGTCTGCGACTGTTAAACACAGAAGGCACATAGCGACAGCAATCAAATAATATTAATAATAAATCCATTCGTGGTTCCACCATGATAATCCATAACAGCCGGACAGCAAAATTTAAAAAAAACAACAATGTAAACAGTAAACAACCAATCGGTTTATTTGACCGAACATGTTCGAGAACATTACGTACGTGCTGATAATAGATGTGAGAGGAGACAGATAATTTCAAAAATGGTCCATGAAAAATAATGGAGCAATAAGCACATATCATCAGATTTTTGTATACCGATACCAGAAGGTATAAAAAATAAAAATAAAAAATAAATTTCGTTCGCATCACGGGAAAACAACAAAGGGATTCGAAGCTAGAGTGACAGAGATCTTAAAACGAATCAATGCAAACCGTAAAGACGGAGTATGTTTAAATAAACGCAAAACATCAGACATGCATCTCTCTGACTATGTGGAAACGTTGCCTCGCAATTCACGAGACTCAAAAGTTTTTTCAACTGTAAAGAAGCCCTCAAACAGAGGCCAGATCGATACATCTAACATCGATACATTTAGGTAGTTGATCAAACGTTTGAAGAGTGCATAAAAGTTCTTTCAGTTTCGAACGAAAGAGCAGAACCGTTTTGACATTAGCATGTGTTAAGCTATAATTTAGGCGTATCAAATATAGGCGAGCAGGAAAACCGCTGCCCGACGGCGTTCGCAAGAGACAGTCTCTTAAGGAGTCGGCCAGCAGCTATTCGGATGAACGTAGGCTATTTATGAACAGCAAGACTTGCGTGGTTTTGGTTTACAGAGGCATCGTCGAGGAAACTGTGTGCAATGAACCTTCTGATGAAGTTTGTCCTTACCATTTTCAACCTCACACAAAAGTTCGAGGTAGAAGTGAGGATTGATTATCAGTGATATGGCCGTCATCACTGAGCACTGCTTGTAACAGTTTGGAGAGGATCGCGGGATCGCTCGGCGAGTGTTAAATCACAAACACTCGGCATATCGTCGGACAGATTCAGACGTTGCGGCAGTCATTTTACTCACCGGTCTAGACACCAACTTTCCTGTAGTGAACATCCCCTGGATCCCTCCTCTCGTCTAGAATCGTCTCCTCCCAGCCAGAGTTGCAGGATTATGAGTGTCTTTCTACCAGAAGCCCCGTAGGTGCCATAGTCGAAGAATTTGTATCATTTCCAATTACAGTGATTACGGACATCACCGCATTATGCCATTATGCCATTATGCCAACTATTTTCTTTCTGAAATTGAAACGATTGCCCTGGTCTTTCAGGAAACCAAGCTTTCCTCTGTCCAGCAGAGGTTAGGGCACTTTGGACTACCAGAATTTGCTCGTTAGCTGCTCACGGTTCAGTTCTGAAAAAAAGAAAATTCAAACTAATGTCAACTGCAGAAAAACATATGCATTACACGTCGACGTTGGCTGCGACTGTCACACTGTAAGCAAGAGTCGAAAGCGAAGAGGCTATTAATGTAGGCAGCTACGACTGTAACTGAGTCAATTCGTGAACAAGGACTGCACAATATTTGAGTTAGTTGCCCGTTTTGAAAGTGGGTAAACCTCTTATAATAACTATTATGTGATGCGAGTTAGTCGCAGTCACTGCGTTATAAAGTCAAGCTTTGTTGCTGAAAGCTCAAATGGCGTATGTCCGGTTAACCATGATCAATTTTGTGTGAACCATTAAAAGTTGCCTCGACCTCCGCAGTATAATTGTTATACTTTTCACCTTATAAATATATCAAACGTGCAAATTTATGCAGTTATGAATTTGTAATAACATGGCTATAGTTGGAAAATTACTTGTACGGACCTTTTCACTCCATTTCTACAGGTAATCCCTTGATTCTTCGAGGAATTCCAGCAGCCCACAGCCCCATAAGCAGTTATTTTAGAAGTCCGCTGAAGTAATGGCTAAAAATTAATTTACAAGTATGGTTCAGTCGCCAAGGCTAGATGACTATTTAAAAACATAAATGGAATATTATGTACGGGAGTCAGTTTCGAAACTGCAGGTATTGTACTCCTGAATAGCGGCAGCCACCTCAACTTGCGCTATGTGTTAAGGAGGGATGAGGTGTGTGCCAATTAACATGCTCTCGACGTAGGAACAGGAATTTTTGATGCGGTAGAGCACGAGTGCTGAAACATTATCGGTGTTCAGCATGACTACTCTCATCTAGGCCTTGCTGAGATTCCCCTTAAACCACAACGCAGCTTAGATCGATCTTGCAACATGGTACTAACTGAGATTTTCTTGAAAGACGCAGGATTACGATGGTAAGGCCACTGTTATTGAATCTGATGTTGTGGCATCGTTGCCATCATTTCGTCACGTCTACGGATTGAGGAACGGTCTTCAAATATGGCAGTCATGTTGTCAATAAGCAGATAAAGTAATTTTCATAATGACCTCAGTCTCGACGATTTGTAGTGTGGAATGGTGCCAGGGTGACATGATTTAGCTATTGGTGACGCTGGTTGAGAAATGCAGATAAGCTTGCTGATGCCTTGATGAAGCTTCGAGTGAATACGGCCATTAAATGTGAGAGTCTCTGCCATTTACCATCTGAACAAACGATGACCGATCTTTGGTAAGGCGAACGGTAGAACCGAACAGGAGCAAACGTGTATTAATACATAATATTTTTCTTTAGATAGTGTATTTTTGGTGAACGTCTATGAGACATGGTTAAAAGATTTTAGGGATATATGCATAGATAGGCGATACCGCTAAGACTTCCCTATGGCTTGCAGTTCTTTGCTGTCATCGTAGCAGACAAGTTATTTGCTAACGAGATATTTACACTCACTGGGTATTCCTTATTGCGTAGAGTGGACGACAGCCAAAGTAATTAGTGCCACAGACACCCCTGCCAGTCACTCTCTCTGAGTTCACAACAAAAGTGCCCTCATCCGAGTTGCTCGTCGATACAGAGTCAAATTGAGGGTCGACGGATTCAAGCCCCAATCAGTTCTGTTCGTTCCTTTTCTTCCGAGGCCAATAAATGAATGCATGGAAAGGCATGGGAGACCTGCATCATAGTGGTTAACAAATTTTAGCCTTATGAAGGAGCAATAACGCACTGATGGCTGCTGGCACAAAACAGAAATTGGCGCATGGTCGTAAGTTTCATGAGAAAAAGACAAATACCTCATATGGCGCCAAACATGAAAGTGCATGACTAAACAACTTTGAGTAGGAACAAACCGTTATTCCTCCTAAACGGAATTATTCTGCCATTTTCGAGAACCTTCTAAGCTCTGATTGTCAGAACCTGGTCGTTCCATGGCTTGGTGATAGGTGGTGGTCTAAAAATGGAAATTCTGCTGCGGCACGTGTATTATATGATTGCATATATCGGTCCCGTGACGGTCCAACAGGGCCTGCGCTTCCAAATACAGTACAAGATCAGTCAGAAAGTAAAACCAAGCTTTATTTCACAAGCGTGTTTTCATCGCAGTCGAAAAGTGATTGACGTAAATTCATATGATATGCAAAGATTGTAAATTATACAGCATAATCGGTGTTCAACTTCAGCTGCGCTCGGCCACCACGTCCAACGCGACGGCGCCGTGCTTTCGAGACTTAAGTTTCGGATCTGCCATCGTCCACGACGACTGCGCCGCCTTTTGGAACCACTGACTGATTCTGGCGTAGTTGTGCTTCATCCATTTCACGTTGCTTCTGACGGTCTCCAGCTGACGGTTGAAGGCGGTCGAGTACCTTTGGAACGACGGATTGGTGTCATAGAACCGCTTCATCTTAATCAAGTGTCACCATAGCAAAACGACAGTGCGAAAAAGTGATTTTCACATCGGCGATCGCTTACCATCGCTAGTTCGTATTCTGTGTTGAACCGGCAGGTGGCCGCCTGGAT